TAATTCTTTGCTAAATTAATGTCTCCCACTTCACGGACCCTCCTGGTTATGACTGTCTCATATTTCACGGCTGTTAAGAAGAGTCAATTGAAACTTTTGGTTGGAAATTTTAAAAAAAACGAACATTCATTTCCCTAAAGCATCAATCAGTAAGGTTCTATTAAGTGTTTACTGAGTGCCACTGCTAAGTGGCACAGTGGATAGAGCACTGGACTTGGAATCTGGGAAACTCATCTTCATGAGTTCAAATCCAGCCTCAGACACTTACTATCTGGGTGACCCTGGGCAAGTCACTGAACCCTGTTTGCCTCAGTTTCCTCATCTGTAAAATGAGCTGGAGAAGGAAATGGCAAACCACTCTACCATCTTTGCCAGGAAAACCCTAAAATGGGGTCATGAAGAATCAGACATGACTGAATGACAACAACAAATACTGTGTGACAGGCCATGTGATGGGTGCTGTGGGTACAAAGCTCAAAGCAGAAATCTAGCTATGGGGGGAAAAAACTTTCTCAACCTAAAAGACAAAACTCTATATTGCTTTTTTAAGTAAAAACTCCGTTGGAGGTACAGTGGATTGGATGTCTGACAGAAGGTCAGGAAAATCCAGGTTTAAATTCTGCTAATTAACATCTCTGGTCCTCAGTTCCCTCCCTTGTGAAAAAAAAAAAGGATAGTAATACTTGCACTATCTACCATATAGGATTACAAAAATTTGCAAAAGGCTTTGAAAACTGCAAAGTAACATGGATACATTTCGTTATCATAACATGTTAGGATGGAAACGATGACTTTACAGAATGAGAAAGCCAGGCTTTGATTCTGCATTGGCTACTCTTTGGGGCAATTCCTGGGGAGGGGCCATTCCCATTTTATATTTACACTTTGGTCTTCTATGAATTTTTTTTTTTACTAACTCAGAGATTCTTTTTTCTTTCTTTCTTTTTAAATAATATTTTGTTTTTCCCCCAATTACATGTTAAAAACAATTTTTAACATTTGGGTTTTTTTTTAAGTTTTGAGCTCCAAATTCTATCCCTCCCCCCTCCCTGAGATGGTAAGCAATCTGATATAGGTTATACATGTGCAATCACATAAAACATTTCCATATTTAACTCAGAGATTCTTAATCTCAGTCCTGTGACATTTAAAAAAACTTGAATAAATCTATTTCAATATCATTGGTTTCTTTCATAATCCTATATATTTCATTTTATCCATTTCAAAACCTCATTCTGAAAAGAGGCCCATAGACTTCACTAGACTTCCAAAGGGATCCATGATACAAAAATGGTTATGAAGCCCTACTTTAACTGGCCATCTGGGCCCTTTAATTGGGTCAGCAAAGAAGTCTCCCCAAAGGGAGCAAAAGGGCTCAAATATGCAGGTACCTGCTCTATCAGGCGTCTCTGGAGCCAAAGAATGTCTTGATTTCCTGTTTCTGGGATCAGTGAAAGGCAGAGGGGAATGCTGAAGGCAGGCAGGACCTGGAGGACAGAGCTGGGCTGAGGTCCCATCCTCCTTGTCTAAGCCTCTAGTAAGATCCAGTGATGAACTCGTCAAGGTCTTCGTCTAGAGCATCACTCACCCTCCCTAGGCTCCCTCGGGCTAAGTGAAGAGTCTCTACTGGCTGCATTTTTTTTTGAGACTTCACATTGTCTTAGAGATCAAAGGGTTTCTACAAGTCTTGTATGTCCAGGATAAATGGGAAGAAAAGCTGAGCTAACAGGGTCTCTCAAGAGTGAGCACAGGCCTTAGCGATAAGCCAGAGTTTGCCCAAACTGAACCCACCAGAAGACCACGTGTGCATACATCAGAGGAAGGAAGTCAACTCCTTTCCCAAATGCCTGGAAGAGTGAGCCAATGTTTACTATCTTATAAAACAAAGTGAATTTTCTCCTTCCACCTTCCTGTCCTTCCACCTTATCTTTTTCCTGAGGAAACACTGAAGTGCTACCTTAGTTCCCTCTCAAGCCCCGAGCAGCGTGAGGGTAATATGGACTGTAGTGCTATATTTAACTTTCTTCCTGGTGGGCCTTATCATGTCAGCTTTCCATTTCTCCAATCAAGTTCCTCCATCACTAAAAGCTATACTCTCCCATTCAGAAGCCAGCAGTGACCTTTCTTAAGTTTTCTGTTCTGTGACTTCTGCTCTTCAGTACATCGGCCTATGACTGGTTTCTCTGCCTGGAATGTAGATTGAGAGACTACTCAAAGAGAAAGGAGAATTAATGAATGAATCAAATATCAACCTGCATTTATGATGTACCTACCATGTGCCTGGCACTGCGATACAAAGACAAGAAAAAAGAAGGAAAGAAAGAAAGAAAGAAAGAAAGAAAGAAAGAAAGAGTCCTGGCTCTCAAGGAACTTATATTACAATTACAATAAAATGGGGGTGTTACATCTGGAAATGACTAGATCACGGCTGGGGAACCTCTAACCTCAAGGTCACATGTGGCCCTCTAGGTCCTCAAGCTCTGGCTCTTTGAATCCAAACTTCACAGAACAAATCCCCTTAATGAAAGGATTTGTTCTGTAAAATTTGCACTCAGTCAAAAGGCTGCACTTGAGGACCTAGAAGGCCACATGTGGCCTCGAGGCTGCAGGTTCCCCACCCCTGGTAGACTTAAAAACAAAACCATCGATAACACTTATTTAAAAAAAAAGATTTAAAAATCAATTGAATAGGAAATGACATTAAAACGTTTTTAAAAGAAAGGAAAATAACAATGATAACAATAATAGTTGGTATTGATAGAGCACTTCATGTCTTATAAACTCCTTTCTTACATATTATCTCTGCTAATCCTCATAACAACCTGGGAGGTGCATGCTATTAATATCCCCATTTTACAGATGAGGAAACTGAGGCCTGGAAGTTAAGTGACTTGCCCAGGGTCACACAGCTAGTAAATATCTGAGGCAAGTCTTGAGCTCAGGTCTTCCTGATTCCAAGTCCAATGCTCTATTTATCTATTCATTGTTCCAGCTAGCCCATGAATTCAATGAGATTAGTACCCAGTAAGCAAAGCCAATCTACTGGATTGAAAACTATTCATTCTAGACTTTTCCTATTCTTCACCCTACCTGGCCCGGTTTCCCCCAAGTACCATCCCCCAGCTTTGTCTCAGTAATGGTCTCATCTAATCCTACTCCATGATGAAGACTAAATTATGGAGGCTAAAATGAGAGTGTTATAGATCACCTTGAGGGCTGTGTTTTCAAAATGCAGTGAGTAGAGAATGTAACCCATAGGCAAAGGACTGTTTTATGCTAAAGTGGAAACTTGAGATTATGCAGACTCTTGTCCTGGTTATAATACACTTAAAAATTTAAATATATGGCTTGGTTTGGTTGCCCTGAGCTGTTTATGAAATGGAAAGAAACCAGTGGAGAGCAGCTTCGCTATAAATGGGACTGTTTTGATATATGATGGAAGTTGCTGGTACTCTATACCATCTAAGGTCTGTGATCTCCCTGCCTTCCCTCCCTCTATGAGCTAGTATAATGGGAAACCGGTGATATTCTAGCTAGTGGTTTGGTTTTTTGGTTTTTTTTTTTGGAGGGGGTGTTTGTTTTTAAATGGTCCCTGCTATTCACTTTAACAGGATTATTATTATTTTGGGAGGAGGGGAGGGCAATTTTGCAATAAATTGGCCCAGAAACCGTGTAAGAACATGGGATCCGAGCACCCGAAGTCAGGAGAACCTGAGTTCAAGCCCAGCTTCAGACCAAACACTTGGCACTTACTAGCTGTGTGACCCTGGGCAAGTCACTTAACCCCACTGCCTAGCCAAAAAAAAAAAAAAAAGGAAAAGAAGAACATGGGACCCTAGAGGAGTCCTAGAAAGGATTTCAGAGGCCCTCTAGGTCAATCCCGTCACCGCACAGATGAGGACCCACATCAGACTCATGACAAAGAACCACAAAATTTTAACGTCAGGAGTCACCTCGTGGCCATCTGTATCAACCTCATATTCTAGACGGAACAAAATTCCTAGTTGCCTCTCTGAGTGATGAGGGCTCTAATTGTATCTAGATTTCAATAGGGGTATTCCCACTGCAAACTTTAATATGCTATATAAAGGCTAGATGGCAGGCTGCTCTTGGATTGTGAGGATGTTGGGGAAGGGATCAATCCAATAACCTAAAGATTCAGTCTCTTTATTAAATGCTTCCAAAGTCTGATCGTATGGTAGACTTTGAACCTGGTGAACTTTCCACGACATAAGATGAGACTCAACTCTACTTCTTCTGTAATCCTGGAGAATTCTGCCTGGGGTGGAATGAGAATTCTTAGAATGCCAGGAATGAGGATTCTGGTACAAACCTGGCCCAGCAGTAAAATGTTAAACCACATGCAAGGAGCAGTAATGGTTCTTGTCTGACATCTTTAGCGCCCAAAGTCTTAGGACCTTTCTGGCAATTATGGAAATCAGTATATGACTGTTACACAGGAGACTGTGTCCACTGGGAATGGAAAGTAGGGCAGCTGGAGTCAGGAAGACTTATCTTCATGAGTTGAAATCCGGCCTCAGACCAAACACTTCGCACTTACTAGCTGTATGACCCTGGGCAAGTTTCTTAACCCTGTTTACCTCAGTTTACTCATCTGTAAAATGAGCTGGAGAAGAAAATGGCCAACCTCTCCAGTATCTTTGCCAAGAAAACCCCAAATGGGGTCATGAAGAATGGCACATGACTGAAACTACTGAACAACAACAAAAATTCATCATATTGATTATTCAGGTCTGCACATTGGAGGCAGACAAATGTTCTTTTTTAGGGGAGGGGCAATTGGGGTTAAGTGACTTGCCCAGGGTCACACAGCTATTAAGTGCCAAGTGTTTGGTCTGAGGTCAGATTTGAACTCAGGTCCTCCTGACTTCAGGGCTGGTGCTCTATCCACTGCACCAAAGCTACTCCCAGACTAATGTTCTAAGAAAAAACATGCATCACTCTCCTTTCCCCAGCAGAAGCATGGTAGCCACACTCACCCGTATGAGAGTAGATGTACCACAAGGCGCCCATCAGGAGTGCTCCTATCACAAAAGCTGCAAAGGCGATGCCCATGACGGTCAGCGTGTCCAGGCCTGGCAAAATTGCTGGGGGGAAGGAAAACAAAGAGATGAAACTGTCAACTTCGGCGAGATTCATACATTGAGTGGGCTAGATTCCCCTCATAGGTGCTGTACTCAAAATTTAACACTTGTTTTCACAGTCGTGTCCATATTTACAGACACAAAGTATTCTGTGGACACCAGAAGCCATTAATTATAATTGCTAGCATTTATCTAGTGCTTTAATGTTTTGCAAACACTTTATCTGGTTTTAAAATTTTTTTCTCAACATATAAACAAAAATTCTTAACATTTGTTTTTTTTTAATTTTGAGTTCCAAATTAAATTTTGAGTTTCTTCCCTCCCTCCCCTGAGAAAGCAAGCAATTAGATATAGATTATACATACGCAGTCATGCAAAACATTTCCATGTTAGCCATGTAGCAAAAGAAAACACAGACCCCAAATCCAAGAATAATAAAGTAAAAAAAGCATGCTTCAATCTACATTCAGACTCAAAGCACTCTCTATGTCATTTCACTTGATCTTTACAATAATCTTTATTTTATTATCATTATCATTATTATTATTATTAACTATTATTATCCTTATTTTGCAGATGAAGAAATTGAGGCAGAGAGAGCCTCAGGGTCACACAGCTAGAAAGTATCTGATGTGAGATTTGAACTCAGGCTTTCCTGACACCAAGTCCAGCACTCTAACCACTAGACCCCACTGCCTCTCCTAGGCTAAGAGACTTACCCAGGGCTACTCAGTTATGAAGTGTCAGAAGTGGGATTTGAACCCATCTTCCTGATTCTCTGCCCAACCCCCTCCATCAACTAAGTCAAGCTGCCTCTACAATGAATGATGAAGTATATACCTTTAAAATAAAGCAGGTAAGGGAGAAAAGACAGACATATTTTGAGACATTTTATAAGCCTTTAAAAGTAGAATGAGTAGCATAAAAAAGAAAAAAAAATGGGGGAAGGAATAAAACCTCCCCCCGTTTGGATGGTCTCATTTTTCTGATCTCTTTCCTATAGTCAGCTCCCCATCTTGATGACTCCACTGGGCAACCAAGACACTTTTCCAAGCTTAGCCTCACTAACAGGAGGGGGACGCAAGGGCTTTTCAAAGAGGGAGTGATGTCAGTTTTACAGTCAGCGAAACACATAAATAGAAGTGATTGTTCCTCGCTCTTGGCAACGGGTTTTTCTATCTGAGATGAATTCCAGGCCACAAAAATAGAATATTTCCTTTCTGTTAAGGGAACTACCTTCTTCAAGTCTTCAACTAAAAAGCTAAAATCCGTTTTACAAGGGAGAGGCCTTTGATGGAAAGTGCAATTTGTAAGGTCTCTGGATCCCGAATGTTATAAATGACAGGCCTGGGTCTTTCCCTATCCTTTCATTTCACTCCAAATATCACTCCCGGGTCATGGTCATTTTGAAACACTCTATAGCTATACAAATTCTGACCTAGTTCTCTCTGCTTTCTAACCAATGACTATAAAAAGTCCAGCTAGAGCCAATCAAAAAGTATTCTGGTAAGTGCCTATTACGTTCCAGGCACTGCTTGAGTTACAGGTGTACGTAATTTCTAAGCAGGTTCTCTAGGGCAAAGGGACTCAGGGGAGTGTGGTCAGTTGGAAAGGTGAGAGACCTGCCTCCATTCTCTCACTGACCACCTGGCCTTAGGTAAGTCACTTGACTGTCTCTAGGCCTCAGCTGTTTCATCTGCAAAATGGGAGCAAAGTACAGGGTACATAGCAGGTGCTTAATTAATGCTGATTGACTGGTTGATTGAGGAAGAAACTATGGGGAAAGGTGTTTCTATGGAAAAGAATGCCATCCTTAGGCAGGATAATGGAAAGCACCTATTCAACCTGCAAAATCTGAAGGCTCCAATCACAAGACCCTCATGCTGCCATCACTCTTCTCACTCTGCACATGCCTCCTTCTACCCTTGTAGACAGAAATAACAAACTGGGAAAACGCAGGCTCCTAAGCTCATTCTTTGAGAATTCTCTATGGAGGATTTGTGGAAAGACACAGACAAGGACCACACAAGATGAGAAGAGTGGATGAAGTCTGAGCTGGACCCAGGGGAGGAAACACTCCCATCCATGAGTTTAATGGTCTATAGAGCAGAGGTGTCAAATTTGCAGCCCTCCCTCACACAAGACTCCAGGTCTCTTGACTCACAATCTAAAGACTTTCCTAGGTAGCCAGGTGGTTCAGCAGATAGAACACTGGACCTGAAGTCAGGAAGACTTGAGTTCAAAGATAGCCTCAGACACCCTGGGCAAGCCACTTCACCTCAGTCTCAGTTTCCTCATCTCTAAAATGGGGATAATAATAGCTTCTACCTTGCAGAGTTGTTGTGAGGATCAAATGGGATAATATTTGTCAAACACATTGCAAACCTCAAAGCACTAAATAAATGTCAGCTCTTATTTGCACTGCACTAGGAGGGCCCCAAATTTATTTCCACTGAAAATAACTTTTTTTTCATAGATATTTTCATGAATGTTCATGAACTCTTTCAGACCACAAGGGTGTCATTGAGGTGTCTAGGAAGACAGAGTTTAAATAAAAAAAATCCTTAGTACTTGGGAAGAACAAATGAATCTGCCTCCCCATATTAAAGCATCTGTTTCCTTCCCATTGATTGTATATCAATATTAGTGTGGGTATGGAGAAAGAATGGCCGAAGTCAAGAGGGAAACAAGGGAGGGGAGGAAAAAGGCAAAGGAGAAAGAAAGATAGATAGGAATGAAGGAAGGAAGGAAGGAAGGAAGGAAAGAAAGGAAGGAAGGAAGGAAGGAAGGAAAGAAAGGAGGAAAGAAAGGAAGGAAGAAAAAGAAAGAAAGAAAAAGAAAGGGGAGGAGGAAGAGAAGGAGAAAAAGGGAGGGAAGGAATGAAAGCAGCAATCCCTTATCAAAACCTCAACCTCTGGCAAACCTCTATCAACCAGCATGCTCTGAGAAAAGCCCAAGGGGCGTCATTTCGAAATATGAGGATTTATGAAAACTTACGTGGCGATTTCCCGACTGGATTGGCAATAGTTGGTTCTGTGTAAGAAAAAGAAGAAGAAGAAACATTAATCACAGGGTGTTCCCTTATCAAAATTCAAAGCCATCATCAACATTTCAGCCAAAGGCTAATAATACAAGGTTATTACAAAAAACAGCCATTTCAGCTTAGACCAGCAGAATTCTCCAATAGCCTCAGTTTGTGAAATTTCACTTTAATGGTCTCATCAGATCTGAAATTCACCCTAGAGAGTTTAGAGGTTTTATTGTCATTGTTCTTTTTGGTCTGGAGCTCTGCTTTCATCCTTGTGGGTGGCTCCTAGTGTGTGAATTCCCTCCGTGGATGCAGATCAGTATTTCCTATTTCTAACTCAGGAGTTTGAGAGAATTATCTATGAGAACTCAGGTGTTAGATGACTTGTCCACAATCTCAGGATCCTAATAGGATCACAGGCGCAGAACTGAAAGGCTTCCCAGAGGCCATCTAATCCAATCCTCTATTTACAAGATGAGGAAACTGAGGTCCAAGGAATGTCTCATATGACCAAAAATCATATAACTAGCAGACAGAGGCAAAGTGATTTGCCAGAGTCCAAGGCTGGCCCTCTTTACATTCTATCAGGAGGTCTCTCATTGTATAGGTGCCTAAACTGTTAATAAGACAGCGTAGGTGTGGCCTACATAAAGAAAACCAGATACACAGAAATTCACATTTTCTCTAAACACATCAATTAAGGTGTGATGGTAGTTTTACAAATGAATTCACTGGAGAGTTCTGTTCAATAGCAAAGTCCTCCAGTGTTTTTACTAAAGGTTTCCATTTACAAAACTTTGATTAGGGGATTAAACTAATTCAGTTTGACCCTCTGGAGCGGCAATGTGGGCACAAAGGTAGATTCAGGCTTGACCTCAGGAAAAACTGGGGTGGGCATAATGTTGGAGCTGTCCAGAAGCTGGACCTGGAGGTCTTTTGGGAATGACCAGATGTCCGCTTTCCAGGTATGCCATAGGGTAATTCTGGTTTAGCACAGGTTGGACAAGGCAGTCTCCCAGTCTGGCAAGATATGATTCCATTTACCAAATCCTATACATAATTTTGTAGGGATACAGTGATTGTGTAATCAACCCAGTTGGCTTTAAGTCAATCTGAGTTAAGGCCTCCATGGCCCTAGCCAATCATTTCTCTCAGGATTATTTGTGGGTGGGAGCCTTTCAGCAAGGATCACAGTCTTATCTTGGTACTCCCCTTAGCATCTAGCCCTGTGATGAAACATGCTGTTCACCTCAAGACAGTGAGCCGATGGAGTGCAGAAAGAAGCACATTTTCATTTCTTCCTTCTTTCATTCTATTTTTGTACCTGGCTAATGAGGGGATCTGTTTTGAATGACTACACATATTTCTAAGAAATCTTGTTTATCTTGTCTTCTCATTGGGTGGGAGAGGGGAGGGGGAAGAGAGAAAATTCAGAACCGAAAATAAAATAATAAAACTGAGCTTTGAGAAATGAAGGAGCTGGGCTCGTTGACCTCTAAGGTTCCTTTTAGCTTGAAATATTTTATCCTGTGAATAAATGACCTTGCTCCTCTCACTCAAACAATCTTACGACATGTATATTTGTCTTTTTCTTCTTCACACTCATATCTGGGTGAGTTTTGTGCTTTCTGTCAGTAAGAAGTAGACAGTACAGTGGAAAGAGCGCTGTCTCCAGAAAGTAAGATCACGGTCAAATCCTGTCTCCAACGTTATCTATCTTGCAAGGGCAAGGCCGCTAACCTCCCAGACTCTCAGTTTACTCATCTGTAAAATGAAGGCATTAGACCAGCTAGCCTAGTTTCTTCTGGGTTTCTTCCAGTTATAGATCAATGATTTTATGGACTCCAAAAAGGAGAAAATCTGAAACATGACGGTGATTGAGAAAAACAAAAAGCGTCGAAAAACGTACAAAGAATGTTTGTTTTCCTCTAGGGCGCTGGTTAGAACAGTACTTTTAAATACAGTTCTACCCATCTTCCAGTTAAATCCACTCAACTGGTGTGGCAATCCAAACTCTGAACTCTTCCCCCATCCCATCCAGTAGCCTCTTAATTAGCAAACCTCATTAAATTGTTTTACTGGGGATTAAAGTCTTCCCATTTGACCACTTTTATAAAGAACAACAAAAAACAAAAACAAAAAAACAAACAAAAGAAACGCTAAAATTTCAGGTTAATTGTCCTAAGTCTGAATGATTTGAAGTCACTGTGGAGGAGAGATTAGAAAGGAAAATCAAACCACTTGACTTGAAAGCAGAATGAATTACTGGAAGTAATACAGTTACATTATTAATGCCTAATTGTCTGGAATGGGAAAGAGCGCACTGCTGACCCATTACCAGCAGGAATACATCCTCCAAAATAGGTAATGGCAGCAGATGGATTAAGAGGAAGTGGGAGCCATTGTTAAACCTCGTGGGATCGCCAGCTGTTGCCCAGTTTCTGGGACACTTGGTAATACAACTGCTTCTTATTTCTTCTTGCTCTAATTGAAAACTTAGATTATAAATGGGCTAATCCAGTTAAGAGGGAAGCCTAGTGAATGGATAAAAGGTTGGCCTTCGAGTCAGGAAGCTGGGGCTCTAAGACCCACCTCTGACCCAACATTGGCTGGGTGACCTTGGTCATCTAATGTCTCAGGGCCCCAGGCAATTCTCCAAGATTATAAATTACAGGGTACATACAGTTTTGTGTGGGTAGAGAGGGTTTCTTTCTCAGGCATCCCCTTTAACAATGAAATCACACACAAAACTCATTCATAGAAGGAACCTTTATGATCACAACTGTTGCTTCAAATGGTTGGAAATTAGCTAATAAAAACCTTTACCTTGTGAAGGAACAGAGAAATGTCAACTCTGTGCATTTCATAACTGACTCTAGGTCTGCTGCATGACTAGCCCTAAATTAACTTGGGCTCATTTCATTAATATGAATAGAATCACATCAAGGCAGTATGGTGTACAGAGCCTAGAATTGGGAAGACCTGGATTAAGATTCGACCAATGGCACTAGATGTGTGACCCTGGGCAAGTCATTTAACTGCTTTGTGTCTCAAGCACCAACCTAGGTTGGATGGCTTCACTGGCGGAAGAAGAAGATGGATACTGACAACATCCAGAATCATGGACCGCCAGAGTGGAGAAGGGGCCTTAAAGATCGGCCCCTTATTCAATGCTTCATTTCCAGGACAGGAAGGCCTTGAGAACTGAAGTGACTGCTGTAAGATCCCACAACTACCTTGGTGTCCCTTGCCCCCCCCAGTCTAGGGCTGTTGCCACTACATTCCATGGCTGTTTGTTCTAAATGATGAACTACCCTGCCCAAAAACCACAGAAACAGATGTGTAAATCTCAGGCTTTCCATGAAGTTAATTATGAAATTAGGACCAACTAACTTTCCATTCTAATTTCACTAGATAGGGCTGCTTCTAATAGGCACATGGGCCTGTGTGTGTGTGTGTGTGTGTGTGTGTGTGTGTGTGTGTGTGTGTGTGTGTGTGTGTGTGTGTGCGTGTGCATGGAAAGAAAGACAGACAGAGATAGAGAGAGAGAGAGAGAGAGAGAGAGAGAGAGAGAGAGAGAGAGAGACAGAGAGAGAAAGGGAGAGAGACAGAGAGAGAGAGAAGGTAAAGTAGGAGGGGAGGGAGGGAGGGAGAGAGAGAAAGGAAACCAAAACAGAGAGAAAAAAAGTAGAAGACGAAGGGGGAAGGGGGATGGAAGTAGAGAGAGAGGGGAGATGTAGGAAAGGAGGGAGAGAGAGAGGAAAGGAGGGAGGAAGGAAAATAGAAGGACAGGGAGGAGAGAGTGAAAGAATGAGAGAGAGCACATTTTGCATACAGATGCATGCCATGCTTTATGCAAAAGATTTATTCCAGAAAAAAATGTTTCTGTATCAAATGCTTAAATAAATTAACTTAAATGCAACAAGGGAACATTAAGCAATGGGGAAATAAAGAAACTTTTTGTCAAACTGACCAGCATCCAGTGGCCAGTTTTGGTAGATAATAAAACACACATCCCTCTTCCTGTAGAGATGTGGGAGGGATACCAGCTGCGGAATGCAGAGGAAGTGTGGCCCAGTGGAAAGGGTCTAAGATTCCAAGCTGGAGGACCTGGATTTCAATCCCAGCTCTGCCATTCATTTACTATCTGTCTGACTGTAAGCAAATCATTTCCCTGCTCTGGGGCTTGTTTTCCTTCTCTGTAAAAAGAAAGGGTTAGATGACCACTAACAACCCTCCGAGCTCTAAATCTATGATCCCATGAATTGGTTTCACTTGAAACTTTTTGTTAACAGGGAGGCTTAACACTGCAGTTTAAAAATGCACATCTGGAAATGACTGTTGTGTAAAAACAAAAGGAATCAATAAAACTGAAAAACACATTTTTTTTAAATAGGCAGCTAGATGGCTCAGCGGATAAAGTGCTAGAGCTCAAGTCAGGAAGACCTGAGTTCAAATCCTCCCACAGGCACCTATCAACTGCAAGATCCTGGGCAAGTCATCTGACTTCTATCTGTCTGAGTCTCTCCATCTGTAAAACGGAGCTAATAAGAGCACCTATCTCCCAGGATTGTTGTGAAATCAAATGAGGTAATACTTTGTCAAGCATTTTGCAAACCTTAAAGCACTATATCAATGCTATTTACAATTTTTTAAGAGGGCAAGCAAACCCAAGATTTCATCAGTGTCAGGGACTCCCAGTAAGGAAACTCCCTCTACAGATGCGGACTGCCAACTCCTCTGTAACATTTAGTCTTAAAAAGCTGACTGCGGCAACTGCGATGTTGAATAAATGGCCTGAGACTGCAAAGCTAGTATGTGTCAGAAGAAGCACTTAAACCAAGGCCTTCTTGACCACAAGGGCGGTCTCCTCCATTCATTAGAAGGCATTATCTTGCAACAAATAATGAAAGAAAGAGAAAGAGAGAAAGAAAGGAAGGAACGAAGAAAAAAGAGAAAGAGAAAGAAGGAGAGAAAGAGAAAGGAAAGAAGGAGGGAGGGAAGGAAGGAAAAAGAAAAAAGGAAGAAAAGAAATGAAAGAAGGAGAGAAAGGAAAGAAGGAAAGAAAGAAAAAAAGAAGAAAGAAAAAGAAAGCATCCTCATTGATCTCTTGAAGTTATCTTTGATATACAGCACAAGGTGGTGCTCTCTGTTGCTACAGAAGGCATCAAGGCATACCTTCGTTTTTATCCCCATAGATGACAACCAGGGGTTTGGTGAACGTTTTTTTATTCTGCATCATGGCCCAGATCATGTTCGCATCCAAAGAGGTACAGGCTTCATCAGGAGGTATGCACTGTGGAAAAGAAGGATAGAGGTCAAAAGCAGGGATTCTCTCAGAACCAAACCTCCTCTGCCTCTGCCAGCACAGCTGTGTGGCTACCTCATTATCAGAGCGCCTCAGCGTTGTTTACTGAAGAGAAACAGGAGATGGAGGCATTTATCAGACCAAACTTTCTACAAGCTGCAAAATTTACTGGCGGAGGAAATGTATTCTCAGCTGCATTTCAAAAAGCAAACACCATAGGACAGCTTGTGTTTTCCCCTAATGACTGGAGGCTTCAGTGTCGCTGACGGGTTGAGAGAAGGCTTCTCTAGACAAACCAGAGAACTGGTGCTTCCTATTCAGCAGATTGATGAGAAATGAAGGCTTTGTTCACATGGGATGCAGGAATGTACACATGAACTTGTTTCCATCTATTGAGTCAGAAGGATTAATAATTCAGCTCCTCTCCTTTTATTAAAGAGGTGGGGGCTATGGATGCAGAATACTGAGTACCTATATTGTCAGCTCAGTGTTAGTTAGTTTGAGGGACAGTCTCTTTTTCTTTTCTATTCTTTGTAACAAGGAATGGTTCAAAACCCATCTCAGACACTTATTTGCTGAGTGGCTTGGGGCAAATCAATTAACCCCTTTGTGCCTCAGTTTCTTCATCTGTAAAAATGGATTTGATGGCCTTCATGGTCCCTTCTAATTCTAAGCTGTCGGTTTTATGATCCTATACCTGTGTGACCTTAGACAAGTTATTTAACATTTCTTGGTTTCCATTTCCTTAACTGTTTAATGGAAAGTTTGGTGGTTCCTTCCATCTCCAGATCTACGATTCAATCAGTGTAATGACCAATCTTGATTTCAGGGAACTGACAATAAAATGTACTTCCCTTTTCTCCATAGGGAGGTGATGAACTATGAGCAGGGAATAAAGCCTGCGCTCTCAGACAAGGTTAGTATGTTTTGTTTAACCAAACTTCTTTGTTACAAAGATGACAAGGAGAGAGATGGTACTGGGAAATGACATGCTTATGTAAACATTTTTTTAAAAGAGTGTGCGTCGTAGGCACACAAGGCTGATATGATTAAATACCCTAATTAACCTTTGGTTTGGCAACAGTTTCACACAACCAGTAATGTCATATGGTCAAGACTTCTGGTCCACCATTATAACAGTTCGGTATATCAACTGAAATCAACCCAGCCTGAGAAGTCACCATGTGAAATTAAAATATCTACTAACTTCCCTTGGAAGCTTCACTAAAACCAGCCTTATAATCCACACAGAGAAGGTCAAAAACAATTGCAAATCAAATCCTTGAGGGGTATGGAAAAAGAAATGCTTGCACTAACTTGTTCTTCAGTCTATTTGTAGTTCTGGCTCTCCACACGATCTGAATAGCAGAGATAAAGCCAGACCACTCCCTCCATGGAAAATAATCCTAATTTATCACATCTAATGTACTTTTTAATAACATGAGTGGAAAAAAATCATATTGTTAAGATTTATTCCATAAGTTTCCACAAAACTCACAGGTCACTGATATTATATTTACTTTATTACTCTATTTTTGGCTGTCCTAGAACTGAACACTGAAATCTGCCATAACTTGTTATTATTCTGAAGGTCACTGCCTTATTTTTCTAAAAAGTAGAAATTTAAAAGTTCAAGGGAGCTAATGAACTACTAACCTTTGGCAATCTGTGCGTTTCTTCTTCTTTCTTTGTGCACAAGGTGAGTTCACATTGTAGGAAAAGCAGTGAAGTGTTAAAAACAGGTTTGAGCATGAAGCTAAATCTCTTTTTGTCCATCTGTGTGTGGAGTCGAGAGAAATGTGCCTTCTGGGGCGAATAGAATCTCACAGATTCATCTTTAGGACAAATGTTCTCTATGATAGCGTAATCAGACATCCTGTCAGAATTGGAGTACGGAGAGATAAAGCACGTTTGGATGGCAAATCCCACGTCTTGGTCGGCCTTGGTAACAGAGACCTACACAACAACAACACAAGGAAGATAAACTGAAGAACGAGCCAAAATCATGATGGGTTGGCACGGCCTTTCAGCCATGCTTCAGACAAACATGGCAGCCTGGAGAAGCAGCATTTCAAAGTTAGGGAGGTGGTTTTTATTTGAGCTGGAGTTTAAACTAGCGGTTTTGTGCATATATCAGCCTAGGAGATTCCAACACAAGTTAAACTTAACCGCCTAGAACTCAGGTCCGCTATGGAACCCAAGCACATTGTCTGAAGTGCCCGTTTCTGTTGCGTGTAATGACTTCCTCTCCAGATGAATTCTCCACCAAATTAAAAATAAATACAAACATCAAACAATCACTAGTTATGTGACCTTGGGCAAGTCTTTGAGTCTCAGTTTCCTTGCCTATAAAATGGTAATCAGAGCACTTACTTAGCTCAGAGGGCAGTCGTGACAATCAAATGAGAGGTACAAAGTGCTTTGCAAACTTTTAAGTGCTACATAACTGTTAGCTGTAATTATTAATAATAGAGCCAGCAGAGCATCGTGGAGAAAAAGCCGGCCTCAAAGACAAGAAGACCTTGGTTTCAAGTCCTGCCAGGGACACATACTAAGTGACCCTGGGCAAGTCACTGAACCTTTCTCAATGCTCTGGGCAACCCTCTTTAAGACTACAAGTTGCACCAAAGTGCTGACCTGCTTTAGTAGAGGTCATCTCCTTATCTGGGAGTTCCCCATGCCAATGAAATCACTGGTTCAATCCCTATCTATGCTCCTATTACTATTATTATCATCACTATTAAGAACAATCTCAACAATATTAAGATTAAGGTTAGCCACAGTTAGGTGGCTAGAATTCGATACACCAGAAGCCTGCTCTTAATAAACCAATAGTTAACAAACCCCAAATATGGACAAAGACTAAAATATTCTTGAGAATTCAGCAAATAATAAATCACACTGGGATCTGAATACTCAGAGGAAGAACTATTGTCTGTAAGTGCCCAGGTATCACCATGATATATAAAAATACATTTCCAACAATGTCACCACACTAAATATTTATAATAATCTCCAAACCACATGGAATAGAAAGCTGTCAAAATACAAGGACCAAGCAGAAGAAATTAAAACCATAGAAGAACAAGAGGGCAGGGACTGTCTTTTGCCTCTTTTTGTATCTTTGTGCTTAGCATGGTGCCTGGCATGTGGTAGGCACTTAATAAATGTTTACTGATTGGTGGACTGAACAGGACAAAGTACGTTATCCTGAGTTTCATGGGAGTTGACCTAAAGACATTTTGAGTGAACCCTCAGAAAATGAGTTTGTATTCCAATACTCTTAATGAATTATAAAAAGCAATCAATCTATCTAACTATGCAATAATCCACAGAATATTAAATATAAAAGCTTGATACCAGTATAACTACTTGTCCTCAAGTCATTTCTATCTGAATCCTATCAAAAAAGATGAGAACAAAATAACAGCCACCAGTAATAGCAGTGATACTAAAGATGGACCCATATGCTCTAGACTAGAGAGAAGTTGAATGTTTCACAATTAGAATCTTCAACACCTTCACCACTCCATTGGAAATATGAACAAAAGACACAAGTCACAAAAAATTAATTTTCCTAGAGGAAAAATGAGCTCCCAGGCTTTATAATAATGGTCCTACAAAGCAACTGCTCCTTTTAAAAAGGTTCTCCAAAGAGAAGAGCAAAAAGTTCAGAGTTTATTTAACATAGGGTAAGCTGGGTTTAGGAGTTGTGGGAAGTTAGTATTAGCAGGGCAGCTATCTTTCTGGTGGCAAGACTGGTACCTTTCTCAAGGGGCAGGCCCAAGCTCCCTTTGCAAGGGATGTAATATAATGGGTGACTCAACCTGGCATAGCCCTTGGTTTGGCCAAATGTCCCAAATTGTTTTCTGGTCCAATACAAGCTTTGTCAAGTAAGCTTCATTCTTAAAGCCTTGGGGTGGGGGGAGGTATTTTAAGGGAAAATCTTATCTGAAAATGTTTCCAACTTATTTACACTTCCTTCTTTTAAAAAATTGTTCTAGGCTAAGGTCAGATCCTATGATGTATCCCTTCTTTTGAAGCATAAGGTTGTGTTGGGCCAAAGGTAAACAAAATTCAAACCTGATTTCCCTCAAATTCAGTTCTGAATTTGGACTCTAGTAGATATTCCATTGAGAAAACCCTACCTCATACTCTGGGATGCCTCCTTTGGTGGTGAGGTGGGGTTTGGGCATACAGGCACTTTCTTTCTGGTGGCACTCTCAACTAAATTAAGGATTAATGTAAAACTGGGTATTTAGGGATAAAGTGAATTTTTATGTATTGCCCAATGCTCTCCATTGGGGATTCAGAACTTTGGCAAGAGACAAGATGTGACTCAACTCTCCTCTCTAGGACAGTCTGTCCTACTCCAGACTGTCTCTGGGAGTGAAGTACTCCCATACAGTTAACTTCAAGCCTCCGAATGATTCTGACAGAATGGGTTATCTCAATTTACCAAAGTTTGACACTGACTGTTTTTGTTTTGTTTTGCTGGAGGATGGGGCTTACAAACTGAAATTTTTTTTCTACTAAGTCACCTTTCTAAAAAATGGCTTCTTTTTTTTAAACTTAAAAATCTTTGCTATGTCTCTCAATCTCAGGGTTTAACTCTGCAAGATTGAGAACAACATTATGAATTAATCTTTCCAAGAGAAAGTATTTCATTTCCTAGATGCTAGATTAAATTTATTCTTTTCTGGGGAAAAAATATAAGAAAGCTGTCCTAAACTCAAAAGATTTTTATATTCTATAAGAGAGAAACAAAAAACTATGAAAAATATCCTAAATTCAGTAGATTTTTCTATTCTGGAAGACACAAACAAAGACCAAAAACTATGAGAAAGGTGTTTTGAACTCAGCAGATTTTCCCTTTCCAGAAAACAAAATTAAAAATCTTTGTATCATGAACACAATAGGGTTTTTAACATGCTATTAAAATATCTTACTTTTAAAGAGGAACTTTGAACATGTGCATAAGCCAAGTTTTTAAAAATGTGTAGCAGAATACTATATAATGATTGAGCTTATCCCCAAAGAACAAAATGAGAAAAATCTTTCTTCGCAGAAATGGGGGCCGCATAAAATAAAAGCCCTTAAAAAGGACTGAAATTTGAGAATTGGTTAAAGGAACCAAACTGTACCAACTGACACCATGAATTATTTTTATAAAGAAGACAAAGAAAATAGGGATAGTGGGACACCATTTTTATTTCAAATAAAGCAACAATACCTGCTTGTAATTATTTATATTTAAAGTGCATTTACACAGCTAGGAGAAAGAAAATATTGATTATTGAATATATTTCCTTGTCAGTTGACACATTTGGTCTTTCTAGTGATAAGCACTTACTGTGGTCCAGGTACTGTACTAAACACTGAAGATAATAATGGAAAAGCAAGACAGTTTCTTCTCTCAAGAAGCTCACATTTTCATATGTGATAAAGTATATTACCTTTGCAAAACTGAAAATGCTGCATAGAAGTAAGCCATTATTATTTTTATCCCCAACAAGGGGTCATCTACCTTCTTCCTGAAGACCTCTAGGCATGGAAAGGGAGTTCATGACCTCTGGAGGCATCCCACTGCCCTAATGGACGATTCTGATTATTAGGAAGAGTTTCCTTCTATTTATTCATTTATTCATTCACCAAATACGTATTAAACAACACTTGGATGCTAGGGGCAAAGACAAAATGAAACCTATTTACAGACACTTGCTCATTGTTCTGCTTTCTGTGGAATTAAGATTTGTATCAAATCAGTGGTTTAACGGTCATGTTTAACTTAGGCTAGGTTTTTATTTTTAAAATATAAGATTGTGATTATGCCCAGAATACAAATGGTAGGCCTCAAGAGGAGAGTGTGGGAAGGAAACACCAAAGTTCAAGATAACGTTCCTAAATGATTTAGATATAATTTTTTAAAAAAACACCTCTCAGGAGGACAGTTAACTTCAAGGCACAAGACTGTTCTAGCTGAATGGGGTATCTCTACTCTATAAACAGGGGGTCTTAAGAGGCAGCAGCTAGGTGGCATCATGGGTAGAGCCTGGAGTCAGGAAGACCTGGGTTCAAATCCTGCCTCAGATAACCTCCTAGCTTTGTGACCCTGGGCAAGTAATTTCACTTGCCTGCCTCAGTTTCCTCAACTATAAAAATATATTAATAGTATCTAACTCAGAGGACTGTTGTAAGGAACAAATGAGATAATATATATAAAGCACCTAGCACTTAATACATGCTTATCTTTTTCCCTTATTCCTCCTTCCCTTCTGGTGTCATGGACTTATTTCAGCTGTCTGGTAAAACTTAGAAACCTTCCTCTGTATAATTTATTTGATAAAAATAAAATACCAAGAATTACAAAAGAAATCATTTTTTTAAAAAATGTTCATCAAAATACATTTCTAATCCTTCCCAGATCCTGGGGTAAGAACTCCAGTTGACAAAGGTGTGACTTGGTTTACTTTTGTTCACTTTTTTAAAAGGGAGAGGGGGATCCTTGATACTGAGAACATTCACCTTTACTTGGGTAGGTAAGTAGGTATGTTTGCGGAAGGTAGAATACCTTACGCAAAAAGTCACTGGGGTAGTTCATTCTGCTTAGCTGCTCTTTTATGGGAAGGGATGTTACAAGTAATGGTTTACTGAAGTTAGGGAATAGTAGGGAGGGAGGGATATATCCTGAAATGACTACTTTTAAAATAAAAATTATGCCTCTCTCATATTTTGGTCCTTTAAAATAACACGTTAAAAAACATCTGCAAACTACTTTCCCAAATCTCCTTGATTACAACAAAATAATGACTAGGAGTCCTTGCTCATTTCTTTTTCAGCATTAAAGTTACCAACAGAGTGTCATCTCTACAAATCCCAAGGGACATTTTGAAACTATAAAATCAGAGATGATCTTTAAAAGGGTAAAAAAAATGACAAACAGGAGTGGGTCGACCTTCCACTAAAAAACAGAGGAAGACAGCTATAGCAGATCAAGTGAGGGGAACACAAGAGATATTCAAAGGAGGGGGGAATGTCCCTGAGTGGGACACACAAGGAAGACCGTGCCGATGACTAGGAAAGAAACAAGCAAAACTCTTGGAGGAACAGATTTGATAAAGATGACACCTGGACAAGAGCCCTGGGGGCTGGTGAAACATCTGGGAGTCATTAACCACTGCACACATGTGGATGACTGCCAAAACAAGAGATACATGGAGATCTGGGGGGGGGGGCAATGGCAATGGGGAGCATTACCAAGAAGCTGGCACATTTTCCATAGGGCAGAAAGGAGAGGTCCACCTAAAGAACAGAGGCTCCTATCAGGACAGGTAATCCAAAAGTCACAACGTCTGGACCACAGAAGCAGACAGAGCTGAATGCCAATGGGCCCCATCCCAGAGTCTGAGGCAAAGTGGAAGTCCTGATCCAAATGGGAAAGTTGTTTGTGTTCCTAAACCAGAAATATGTGGGCCGAAGTCATTTGTGATTTATGGAAGCATCCCGTTTCAACCTGCTCACCACGATGCCGTGAGACACCAGCTGGTTGTACAACACAGGGAGCTGTGAATTGTCAGCTGATGGCTTCTCTAATTAGGAACGCAGATAATATATTGTGCCTGATTGTACCAGAGATCGCTCAGTTCTGAAAAAGCCCCATCTTTCCCAGAGGCAAACAGAAACATGATGTCTTGCAGAAGAAAGAAAGTTTTGCTTCATTTTCAGAAAATCAATTCGGATATGGGCTTTGGTCGCTCTGTCTGCGGCTTGTTTAGGTGGTATGTAGGACAATTCCAGAGAATCAGGGCCATGTATGATCTGGGTCAACCGAGCCAAGCATTGTGTGGGAAATCAAACTTCACAATGAGATGTTTTTTCTGGACATGGTCAATGCAGAAATTTATTTCTCTAGACAATGCATATTTGTTCTCCCCACTCCCCATCCCTGACCCAATGGAGGGAACTCTGTCCCCCTTCTCCACCCTATGGTCTCAGCTACAGTCCCACCCTCTGCAAGAAGTCTTTCCCAGTCCCCACTTAATTTTAGTACCTTTCCTCTGAAATGATCTCCAATCTATTATTTATGTTTGTACATCACTGTCTCTTCCATTATACTATGAAGTCTTTGAGATCAGAGACTATTTTGTCATCCTTTACAACTCCAGACCCTAGCACAGTACCTGGAACACAGCAGGTACTTAATAAATGCTTGTAAATTTACTAAATAAATATTTGGTCACTGAAAACAATTAAATTAAAATTTTAAAAATCAAGTTTAATAGTCACTCACCTAATAAAATGATCATCTTGGAAGTAAAAAAAAAACTAAGTTTCTATTCATGGCATGAGTGATTGGGAAAGCCCTAATTTGCTGGACTGGGGCATATCTCAGGAAGTGATAAATCCTTTAGCAAATGGCAAGTGTACATGTGTCTTGTTTGGCTCTATGGAAAGTATTATAGCTTAGCAAACCACCCCTGATCACCCATGTTATAAAATGATAGAAATAATAACTCACATTTATGTAGCACTTTAAAGTTGGCAAAGCAATCATACACTATTACATCTGAATTTTATAAGTGCCTAGGGAGGTAAATACAACAGGCACTGTTAGACCCATTTTAGAGATAAGGGGGCAGAGGCACAGAAAAATTAAGTGATTTGCACATGGTCACACAGCAGTATTAGGATTTGGACTTAAGTCTATTTGACTTACAACTAAAGCACCTAGTCTGATAAGATCCCCACTATAACATGCCCAATAAGTGTTCAGTCTTGAATTGAAGACCTTGAATGAAGGGCAGCCTACCATTAGATTACGAGCTCCTTGACAGAAGGAACTATCTTTTTGTCACTTTGTGTATCCCCGGCACTTAGTACAGTGCCTGGCATATAACAGGTGCTTTATAAATGTTTATGATGAATGACCACTCCATCCATTTTCAACTGCACAACTCATCCATGTTCTCCATTAGTTTTTTTTTGGAGGGGTGGAATCTACCATCACCTCCCCCATCCTGGGAGATCTTCTTGGGCCCTCCTCTTCTCCTTCTATACTATTGCTTGGGGATCTCTTCAGCTCCCATGGATTCAATTATCCTCCCTATGCTAATGATTCTGGCTATCCAGCCTTGACCTCTCTGCTAACCTAGAGATTTGCATCTCCAACTGGCTATTGGATGTCCAGTAGATATCTTAAATTCAACATGTCTAAAACTGAACTGATAAATCACCCCCCCCCAACTTCCCCCTTTTCAAACTTCCATGAAAAGGGCAACACGATCTTCCCAATCACCCAGGCTTAAAACCTAGGTGTCATCCTTGGCCCCTCACCCTCTCTTACCTCCCACATCCATTCTGTTGCCAAGGCTTGTCACCATCTTGATGCAGGCCTTTATCATCTCATGCCTGAGCTATTCCAGCAACCTGAAGGTTAGGCTCCCTGCCTCAAGTCTCTCCCCATTCCAGTCCACCCTCCATTCAGTGACCAAAGCGCCAGTCGGACCATTTCACTCTATAAACTCCACTGGCTCCCTATCCTCTCCAGGATTACATAGAAAACGCTACTTTTGTTCACAGCTCTTGATAACCTGCCCCGCCCACAACCTTCTTTGTTCTCTTACACCTTAGATACTTCACCCCCTCCCCACACGCCCCCCTACCCACTCTGCTATCCAGTGACATTGACCACCCTGCTCCATCTCCAGTCTCCAGGCATCCCCCCTTCCTGGAATGCCCTCCCTCCTCATCTCACCCTCCCAGCTTCCTTCAAGTCCCAGATAATATCCCACCTTCTACAGGAAGTCTTTCCTGATCCCCCTTAATTCTAGTGCATTCTCTCTGTTGGTTATCTCCAATTTATCCTGTATATACCTTGTCTGTACATAGTTGTTTGCATGTTGTCTGCCCTATCAGACTGTGAGCTCCTTGAGGGCAGGGACTGATTTTTTTTTTTTGCCTTTCTTTGCATCCTCAATGCTTAGCACACAGTAGGTGTTTAATAAATATTTATTGACTGATTGAGAATACCATTGGCTCACATTAGCTGCCTACTAGTTATGCTCTTGCCTCATGGACAAGTCGTCTTCTTTTTCAAACACAGATTTATGTAATGACAACCTTTAACCTTCTGTATCCAGATTAGCACTCCAAAAATACAGAATGCAGAACAGGCATAAAGTTTCACGAAGAGGGCCGGTCATTCTTCCCAGAAAATGTGCTCTCCAATTAGCTCAATCCATTTCCCCAAATGGCCACACTTTGGTCTAAACCAAACCAGCAAGCATTTAATTGAGCTGGGCTTGTGCTAAGCACTGTGTTTGGCATTGTGATTGGGCACAAGGAGGACATAAGAAGGATTCCCTTGTCCTCACTGAAAAGCAGGCTGCTGCTCCCAGGTGTCATGGTAAACACTCGGCTGGCAATGCCCAAAGTACAATACCAGTCTTTGCTTTCTTACCTCAACATAAATGTGCCCATTTTCTGCCACTGCTAAGATGCCTGAGACGGGCACCAGGAAGAGGTCTGTATCATACAGCTCCATGTTGAAGGTGATGTTCTGGACCTGGGGCTGATGGGATACATCTGGAGTACCAGTGTGTCTCAGGCTGCAATTAAACTGGGAAAAGCCAGAGGTAAAGCAATAAATCACAACACTGCATCAAAGCATGAAGAATGCCCAGCCAGCTTTACGAACTCAGACAACTAAAGTAAAACATGATTTTTTTGCCACTCCCCTCATAAGGCACAGAAATATCCTTCCCCACCAACCATTCTCCCAAGCCAAATACGTACCACGATAATTTCAGGCCTGCTTATGAAGAAACTATCTCCTTCATCTACATCTCCTGGAAAGCCATTATTGCCTGACTCTAGGTCTTCGTAGTCAGTGGGCCAGCCGCTGCTATCCCCGGGGGCCGATACCTGCATTATAATCTATACAGAAAGAAAGCATGAGGCATGAGTAAAAAACACAGCAGAAGGCCCCAACCACCATCATTTCTACACCATGAGTTCCCCATATGAACAATTCTGATGGTAGTAATAGATTAATGCTTGGGAGAAACTTATCTAAATTACAAAATGAAATTGAAAACCAAAGTCTTTAAGAGGAGACATTTTAAGGGAGGGTTAGCTGATGGTAGAACACCATTAAGTTTCTTTAATAATTTTCTTTTAAATAAAAATTCAAAAGTGCAAGTCAAGGAGACCATGGCAGAGCACCCAGGCCTTACCTATTGAAATAAGCTTGCCCAAGGCCCTAGCTTGAACTTTATTTGTAAGGACAGTCTCTCTAGGGACCAACCAAGAAACTTAGCTAAAAATTGTCACTTAATGGACAAACAGATACATACAAAGAGTAATTCATCACACATGTCACCATATGCAAACACAAGGAGTCTTCCTTCCTTGTATACATTCTCCCATAGTTTTATGTTTTTTTAAAGGGCAGCATGATATTTAGTGTGGCACTGGAGTTGAAGGACCTGGGCTCATATCTTGTCTCTTCTATTTATTCACTATGGGCAAATCATGTCACCTTTCTGGGTCTCAATTTCCTCATCTATAAAATGAGAATGTTGAACTAAATGAGGTCCAAGGTCCCTTCTAGTTCTGAATCCTATGAAATATTTGTGGTCCTCTGCTTTGGGGCATAGAAAAGGGAGATGTGAGAAGATACCAGCTCAAGAACTTCTTAGTAAATGACTTTGGGTTAGTCACTTGAATGTCTTTGAGCCTCAATTTACTCATCTGTAAAACAGACATAATAATTCTACTATCTACCTCAAAGTGTTGTTATGGAGAAAGTTCTTTGTATATGGCAAAGAGATATGTAAGTTTGGGCTGTTATCATTATTACATTTGAGAGAAATGATTATTAATAACCAATTATGGGAGCGATCCAGGCTTTTTCCCTGTCCTATTTCCTTGTTCAAAGCCCAGCCTTTTGAAGGACATTACTGACCTCTGCCAAAAATTTACCCCACCTAAACCATCTTATCCAAGGTGAATTCCTTGCCCACTGTGGTCCACTCAAGCAAGTTTGAGTGGAGGTAGATCCTTTGTCTATAATGTCCAAAGCTGGGGGTGGTCTGGGTGTAGAGATAATCTCTTTGTCCAAGAGCGACATGATGCCACTCTCTCAGCCCCTAATTGGAGTGGTCTACAAAATGAAATCAAAGGAGGAAACCTTCATTCATATAACCTTCATTTCCACTTCTCATTGTAATATTCATTCTTTCATTAATTGGTGCCACCCTAAAGAACACTCACTCTTCCAATGGCAAATAAACTAAGAGCCCCCTGACTTGAGGGGTCTTTGGCATCCAAGAGTGTCACTGACCTCTTTTATTAATAAAATGCTGGCATTATTAATAAAATGATTAATTACCCAGAAATTCTGTCTCTTGGACTTTTTAAACATCACACATTATTCTGAAAGGTACCATAGCAGTGAACCCAGAGTCATCAAGAACATCTGAGTTTAACTCCAGTCTCAGACCCATACTAGCCATGTGACCCTGGGCCCAGATTCCTCAAATGTCAAACAAGGATAGTAATAACACATCTCTCTCAACGTTGTTGTGAGGATCAAATGGGATATTTGGAAACTGCCTCGCCAACCTTAAAGGGTATCATAGGTACTAGCCACTAAAATGATAATGATGATGATGAGGAAGAGACTGGTCCACTACAGTAAGATGGCAGCCAAAACCATATCCTTCCTGTTCTCCTTCTCAGCCCTTTTTCAACTGTCCAACTGTATCTTCTTTCTTGCTAATCTCTTATCTACCACTTCTCTGTCTTGGTGCAGATGAGAATTTCACATTTTGAGCAAGAACAGACTCTTTTAAAGAGTGCTTAAGAGGAGTGAGTACTGGGCCAGGCCAAGCTCAGAATGGAAAGCGTCCATGGCAGCTGGCTGGGCGATGAGCAGCCCATAACTCAACACATTCTCCTCATGTCCACGTAGGGAGGTTCTCTAGAACTCCTTCAAACTGTCATCTGAGTCAACAATATGATTTCCCACTTTGCACACTTAGATCAGGACCACGTTTTAATACAAAATCTTTACAGCAGCTCTGAGGGCTAACAGATAAGACGAGGTATGAACAAGGAACCAAAATATTAATTAAGACGATATCATGGGAAGGCAATAAAGAACCCTTTTTCATGTTAGTCAGGGTCCCTGGAGGAAAGCCTAAATAAACAAATTAACTAGGCTGTTACAGATGGCAGAATGGGTAGACAGCAGGCCTTAGAGCCAGAGGGACCTGGGTTCAAGGCCAGCCCCTTACACACAGCAGCTATGTGACTCTTTGCAAGTCACTGTAACTTCTCAATGACGTAAGTAACTAAATTGCCAAGAAGATGCTGATCTGCATTGATCAAAGGTATTAGTTTCTTCACCTGATAATTCCTTATATCAATGAAATCACAAGTTCCCTCCCTATTTTTTATTTTATTTTATTTTGGACATATTAAGCATGAAGTAGGATATCCAAGGAGATATGATCAACAAGCAATTGAAAATATAAGATGGAAGAGATGGGAAAAGACCAGAGATGTTCATTTTGGAGCCACACAGGGACCAGAGAGTCATGGAACTGGAGGAGACGGTCAATGGAGGGAGTGTGGAAAGAGGTGAGAAGAGGCCTCAGGACAGGTGCTGGGGAAGACTATTAGAGCCAGAGGGAGGAAGAAGACTGACTGCAGGGGTCTAAGAAGAACAGCCAGGCAGGCAGAGGAAGAACCAGGAGAGAGCATTATCCTAGAAGCCAAGAGAAGAGAAAATATAAAAGAAGAGGACTTTTCAGCAGGGTCAGATAGTGTAGGAAAAGTCAAGGACGCTGAGGACTGAGGAAGAGTTTGGAAAGTAAGAAAGAGATCACCGGGACCTTAGAGAGAGAAGTTTCTAGTAGAGTAGTGGGGAAGGAAGCAAGACTGCTAATGGTCTTTTAAGTCCTGCAATTCAATGACTCAATCGATCTCCTGATTTAGACACAGACTCAGGAATGCTAGTGCTAAAAAAAAAATTTTGCAAAACTCTTAAGGACTAGAAAAGTTTATATTCAACCTGAACATTTTACTTTGAATTTTCTCACATCTACCAAAATCTCCTTAATATAATATGACAATATAATATAACATAACACAGTAATATAATATAGTATCAAATTATAATACAATGTAATGACATATTATATGATAGAATATATAGCACCTTTCTTGCAAGAAACGTAGACTTAGCTTCCCCACAGACTTAGATACAATTAAAAGGTACCCTGCCTCCAAAAAAAAAAAGAAAGAAAGAAGAGAAAGGAGAAGCAAAGTATATTAAATTTCCTTTCAAGCTCTGGCCTGGCTTCTCTGGCCTACAGTACTCGGGCTGGTTACTTATTTTCATGGCAACTTTAAAGTTCTGTTATCAGAACTTAATAGCTCCTGGGTCAGCATATGACACATCTTACCTGGGTGACCCTGCCCACGTCACTTGTGGCTGAAGAAACAAAGGCTCAGGAAAGTTACCTGTGAAACTCGGGTTTCACAGTGAGAAATCTAAGCAGGGCTTTGAAAGAAACGGCCTCACGGAGCACTCACCGAGTTATAATAAACCACGCTGTCAGGGGCAGACAGTCGTTGCTGCGTACCACAGCCTTTCAGGGATGATTCCAAAATGAAATGACTTCCATTCATCTTGGCCTTGCAGGTCGGATCCGACAGGGACAGTTCTGTCCCCGTGTAGCCGTTAGCCTAGAAGAACCATCACCAAAAGCAACATTGGTAATCAAATAAAAAACATTACTATACAGCAACGGCTTCACTAAGCCTTCTTTCTATGGAAGGGATGCTCATAGAAGCTTGCATTTAACCCCTTCTTCTTCCCCCTGCAACACATACCCCTCCTCTCAGCCACCCTCTCCTTAGCTAAGATCAAAATCTCAAGGACTGTCAGAGTTCAATAGAAAAGTATCAACATTCAAAGATTTAGAACCCTCCTCACTGGGAGAAATGGGTACCAGGCAAGGAAGGAACCCAAGGAAAGGAGGGTCTAGTTCACTAAGAAAAAGTGAGCAGCGAACGAGGAAGCATATTTGCCACAGACTGTTAGAAGAAAGCTAGGGTCTGGAAGACTCGGGTTCCAATCCCACCTCTGATAATTACTAGCTGTGTGGGCATCTCTTGGCCTCAGTACTGTCAAATGTCAAATGGGTATAATAATACTGTGAGTGCCTAACCGAGTATCAGGCTCAAATGAGATGATGCAAGCAAAATGCCTTGTTAACCTTAAAGCATATATAAATAATAATGATAGTTAGAATTTGTATACTGCTTTACACATATTATTTCATTTAATCTCATAATGACTCAGTTGAGAAACTCAGGTTGGAAGAGATCAAGGGACTTGCCAAGGGTCACACAGTAAGTGTCTGAGACAGGATTTGAACTCAGAACCTCCTGACTCCAGTCTAACACTCTATATGCTGCACCACCCAGCTACTCCATACTGTTAGGTATTGCTATTATTGTTGCTGGTTTCTTCTCTCCCGTATGAAACTGCACCAACCTGCAGAGAATCCTTTTCAATAGCCACAAGCATCTTTTCACCATCACAGGAGACAGAGAAGGCAATGTCCACATGTCTTTGTGCTTCTTGGGGCTCCCTGAGGCTGGGAAACAGCTGGAGGGTGGGGTGGAGAGGCTTCTTTGGCCGAGGGAAGCCATCCTCTCCCTTCTCCTCGTGTCTCCCTTTCCTGTTGATGGGAGGGAATGGAAAAGGAAAACTTCCCCCTGGGAATGAAGGGTTCTCTGGGGAAGGCAGAGGGCTTCCTCCTAGGAGTATCTGAAGCTCAGGAGGAGTGGAATGTTCTTCCTCGTCACTCATCTCTTCTAGAAACGAGAGAAGGGAATGCAGAAACACAACGTCAAGGGTCGATAGTCAGGTTATATATGCCTGCAAGTTAGCTGCGTCAAGGACAGCAAGAAGTCTAATTAATAAGATGGCCTTAGGTGAAATTATTTCCACTGAGGAATAAAATGAGAAAGGGCATAGTATGACAGAAAAGCAATAGACCAGGAGGCGCAGAACCTGGGTTCTAATCCTGGCTCATCTGATAACTGGCTGTGTAGCCTAGTAGGCAAGCCCACCCTGCCTCTCTGGGCTTCATTTTCCTCTTTGCTAAAATGAGATTGAACATTGAAGATGAGCTTGTTAATGATTTTAAGACCTAAATGGGACAAGCAATTAGCACAGTGCTTCCCAAACAGTGATATTAGTCAATAAGGATAACAATAAATGTTAAATAAATGCTTCTGGATTAACTGATAAAATCAATTGATCTGAGCTGTCCCAAACAGTCTCCCAGTTTCTTTTCAGTCCACTGCAATGGATTCTCTAATGATTTCTTACAAAAGGAAGCTTGGACTGCTGCATCAAGAGTCAGTAATATGACTCCTGTTGTGTGGGTGCCCCTGAATAAATCACTATGGAGGAGAGAAAGGATGTGATTTGCCTGAGGTCACATAGCTAGCAGTGGCAGAACCAGGATTCAGGTATCTCCTAGTGCTCTTCCCGTGTTTTCACACTTGCAGTGAAGGCAAGAACAACACTGAGATATTCTCCATAGGTTAAAAGTCATCATACTTACCATTCTTTTAGGTTTTTTAAATTATTATTTACTTTTTGCATTCATTAAAATTTTTTTTGAGTTTCAGATTCTCTCTCTCCCAACCCTCCCCCACCTATTGCAAAAGCAAGAAATGTGATATCAATTATACATGCAAAACATATTTCCATATTAGCCATGTTACCAGAAAAAGCAAGAAAAATAAAGTGGAAAAAATGTTTCGACTGGCATTCAGACTCCATCAGTTCTTTCTCTGGAGGTAGACAGCATCTTTCATCCTAAGTCCTTTGTAATTATCTTGGATCATTCCATTGATCAGAATAGCCAAGTTACTCACAGCCGCTTATTGTACGATACGGCTGTTAGGGTGTACAATGTTCTCCTGGTTCTGCTCATTTCACTTTGAATAAGTTCATATAAGTGTTCCCAGCTTACCATTATTCTCAAGCCAAAGATGAAATCGGTTAGCCACCGGAGCCATCGTGTAGGACGTCACTGGACTGTAGCCATTATCGAAGGCCCACTTGACCAAATTTTCTTGAGTTGAAGGAATGTCATTTCTAATGGATTTTGTCATAACCATGGATCTCTCACTTTCTTTCCCAAAGCCGATGCTATTTGGGGCCTGAGGATAATAAAGAAATAACCTAGTAAAGATTCTTTTACGTAGATAAAATCAATATTTGACAAGAATAAAATTCAATTTTTTTTCTTTTTGAAAATTTTGCTTTCGGTCAGTGAGTCAATCAACAAACCATCATTTATTAGGTCCCTACCATGTGCCAGGCATCATACCAATAGCTAGAGATACAGAAAAAGGTAAAAGACAGTCCCTGCCCTCAGGAAGTTCACAGTCTAATGAGGGAGAGAACATGCAAATAACTATATACAAGTTATAGATATAGACTGGATAAATTGATGATAATTAACAGAGGAAAGGCACGAGCATTGAGGAAATTCAAGAAAGCCTTCTTATAGAAGATACAACTAGCTGAGATTTGAAGGAAGCCAGGGAAGGCAGGAGGCAGAGATGAGGAGGGAGGGCATTCCAGGCATGTGGGACGGCCAGGGTGGGGGGATGTAGCATCAACTGAGAAAGACCGAAAGGAGGCCAACGTCATCACGGGATGCACGTTTAGGGGGTAAAGTATAAGAACACAGGAAAAGTAGGAAAGGGCCGGCTTATGAGTCCTTTATAAATCAAATGGAAGATTTTAAAATATTTATGAATATTTATATTGATATAAATTCATTCTATGTGATTAAATTATCATAGTGCATATAATTAAATGCTTATATTAAATAATTATATATTATGTTTGTGTATTATATTTGTTATTTATATTATGTATATATTTTTATTGTATTTATATACAAAATATTCATAACCATCAACTTTGCCCAGTGATTTTTCCCAGGGTGGGGGGGACCTCCCTGCACCCATGAATTCTGACACCTCTTCTCTAGCTTACAGTCTTAGAAGAGCTGCCTAGAGCGTAGAGGCCAGTCAGGAGCCCCAAATCTCCCTGGGCCCAAGGCTGGCTCACTATCCACTCAGCCGTGCTCCTGCTAATCTCCAGAGACACAAGGGAGTAAGCAGCCATCTCACATCACCCCCCCCCCCCCCCCCCGTTTATGGTGTCCACCCAGCACCCTGTACTGAGAAGCACAAGTGAGTGTTTAAATCATTAAACACAGACACACATTTCAAAAGGAATGTTCTTCTCCAAATCAGACTCTTCTTTCTTCATACCAACTGATAAAACATATGTTTACTATAATATATAAACACTAGAATGGAGCTGTGATCTCATCAGAAGGGGCAGGGATAGGACACTGAACTAGGGAGTCAGAAAGAAACAGATTCAAATCCCACCCTAGACACTGACTAGCTGAATGACCCTGGACAAGTCACTTAAGCTGTATGGATCTCATTTTCCTCATCTATAAAATGAAAGAGTGAAATCCAGTAGACACTTAGGTCCTTTCCATCTCTAAATCTGGTGATGCCATAATGGATAGAACATTGGGCCTGGAGTCAAGAAGACCTGAGTTCAAATCCAGCCTCAGAGACTTGATAGCTGTGAGACCCTGGGCGAGTCACTTGACCTTGTTTGCCTCAGCTCCTCATCAGTAAAATGAGCTGGAGAAGGAAATGGCAAACCGCTCCAGTGTCTCTGCCAAGAAAACCCCAAATGGGGTCATGAAGAGTTGGACACAACTGAAACAACCGAATAACAAAAAGTTTTACAAAACTTTTCCATAGGTCTGGTCTGGAAATTGAGGTCCAGGGATTAAACAGTAAGGTCATCATGGGCTAAGTCAGCATTAATCCTGCCAACAGAAATTCCAACAATGGATTCCGTGACCTGCTCCGATTCGTGACAATAATTTTTTAAAATAATAAAAAGGTCACTAGGAATTTCCTTTTCTAAAATAGCCTTCGTTATAATGTACAGGATGCTTGGAAGAGGGATCCTGAAATGCAAGTTATATCATCTCATGTTCTAATGCATTAAATAATTTCAGGGTCGCCTGCAAAATGCAGTCTTACAACACACGGAAGCCTCTGATGGGAGTTCCTTGTTTAGCTACAGGGGACGCGGAATTAACAGGAGCTTTGAATGGAAAAGCTAAATGTAGAAATCTTCCAAGAGAAAAAAAAAAAGAGGTGAGTAAGGATGAAAAGGGAAAATCCCAGGTTCTCAGATACACAAAACTTTGAGCTCTTCCCTTGTAGGGGACGGCAAAGTCACTGGGGAGTGGGGAGGATGGCTCGATGCTAACAAGTGGGCACAAGGGATCATGCATCACATTTTCAACAACTGGGGCAGGACAGCAGCCTGATCCAACCATCGTGCAGATCAGATCGCTGTCACGCTGCCTAAGAAAATCGCTTTATTTCTCATGCCCAGCCTTCCTTCTCTTGCACGCATGGGGCATTCTTGCTGAATTCCCCATTTGTTAGCCCCTAACATGACGAAATCTTAATCTTTTCCCACTGTAAAACCAGCGGTTCACAGGGCCCAGCCCTGCCAAAAGGATGTAGGTCAAGGGTCTCAAGGATTGCAATCCAAAGCTTAAATGACCCTGCCCCTTTTATTTTCCCATCCCCAAACATGTTGAGTGAAGGGCCAAGCTGGCTTACAAGAGCCGCACAAAGACAAAGGGTCCCCAGGACTGGATTTAGCGCACGTCCTCATTTGAGACTATAAGGTTGATAGCTGAGGGTTCTCAAAACTTTTCATGTGCTCTAGACACCTCTGGTGGCCTGATGAAGCCCACAGAGTATTCTCAGAAACATCATTTGTTGTCTACGTTCATAATCGAAAAGAGTATTTAATTTCTGTTAGAGAAAATAAAGATGTAATTGTTTTCCCATGTATGCTCATGGACTCCTTGTAATCTATTCATGGATCCCTTGGGGGGGGGGGTCAATGGACCCCAGATTAAGAAAACCTGATTTATAGGATGAAAACCTTTGAGAACTCCCAACCATTTAAGGGAAGGGGCAGCTTGTCAGGAAAAGGGAAGAGAGAAAGCTGGACGGAGGTAAAAGGAGGTCCCGATGTTATGCCTTTGGATTTGGGCAGGTTCTTCTATAGATTTCCAAGCAGGCTGGCTGAGACTGTGACTCCAAATAATGTCAACTGGCCTCCCATGTTCTATTCTTTTATGTTTCGACAGCTGAGAAAGTATCATCCTAACAGCCTCCTGTCCCTTTTTTAACCAATATAGTATGATCTGTTTATACCTTTCCACATCAAATCTTGGGACTGTCAGCATTCATCCTACTGATCTGCCCTGGAACTTACAAGGCTAAAAATCCATTTGCACTTTTTCTAAAGTGGCCAGGTTTAAGAAATGGGGAGTCTGAGACAGACTAACTGGAAGGAAGACTTCTCTCTTGCTCTTGGCCTTGCCAGCCATCAATCCCGAAGTGGCTCTAGCAGCTGGATCCAGTTTCCTTCTTTCCCTAACTCGTAAGTTCTTTGGCCCCATCTTGAAATAGATGGAAGAGATAATGATCAGATCTATATAGATATATACATACACATATACATATATATATACAGATACAGATATGATGATCGTATATGTGTATGCAGGTATTTACATGATGAATAGATGATCTCCTGAGACATACAAGCCAAGGAGATTAGAAGACAGAGGGCATGTGTCTTTATCAATCATAAGGCTGATATTAGAATTTTGGGGGTGTCTCCATCATTAGAATGTGAGCAGGGGCTGTTTCCGCCTTTCTTTGTTAACACGAGTGCCTAGGAAAACGCCCGCACAGTGTAAGCACTCAATAAATTCAAGCTGATTGACTGACTGATAAAATAACAATGGTATCATGGAATAGATACCACCTAAAATGCTCATTTCCATCCTCCTTTTATACTATGTAGGCATTCCTTATTAAAAATGCAGCAATGTATACTCCTATCCTAACCTAGCACAATGCCCCACACATGGTAGGTGCTTAATAAATGCTGTTTATTGGGTTTTTTTAAAAAATAAAATGCTGCTTTTAGTTGACTATCATGGAATCTTATGTCAGAAGATGGCCTTCAGAAGCCATCATGTGCCAATTATAACTGAATTAGAATTCTCTCCAAGTGATCATCGAGTCTTATTTTGAAGACCTCCAGATTTGGAGAACACACCCCCATTCTGCTTTGGGATAACTCTCGATCTGGAAGATTTTCCAGACATCAAGTCTAAATTTGACTCTGTAACTCACCCCAATGCCCCTAGTTCTGTCCTCTGCCCTTAACAAATCTGATTCTCTTCCATGGAGAGTCCTTTAAATACTTAAAGACGGCAGTCCTGTCCCCACCCAGGCTTCTCTTTTCCAGGTTAAATATCCCCAGCTCCTTCATCCAATCCTCCTGCAGCATAATCTCGAGGCCCTTCACCATCTCAGTTACCTTCCTTTGAAAGCTCTCTAGCTGCCCTTATCAATATACACAGGCTGTCCCAAAAACCTTTGCGCAGCTTTAAGTTATCAAAAATCTTGGTGTAGCTTTAAGTTATCAAAAATTTTAGGGTAGTTTTAAGCTCTGAAAAATCTTAGTGCAGCTTTAAGTTCTGAAAACTCTTAGTGCAGCTTTAAGTTCCGAAAACTCTTAGTGCAGCTTTAAGTTCCGAAAACTCTTGGTGCAGCTTTAAGTTCCAAAAACTCTTGGTGCAGCTTTAAGTTATCAAAGCTTAAAGCTGCAATAAGATTTTTGGCACAGCCTGGACCTAAAAAAGGAGAGCCTATGTTAGCTCCTCAATGCCTAACACTGTTTTCATATTTGTCCTGACTCATGCCATAATTCTTTACTCTTCTCAACAATTCTGGGGTCTTATTCAGCCTACCCCTGTGCAAGCAGGCACTGACATGGTTGAGAACTAACTATGAGACTGATGGAGTTTACTGCACTTTGCTTTGATGGTGTTTAGGGAACCACTCTTTACTAATGTGGATGTGCCTTTGAAAGAGTTGTATATTTCAAAAATGCCAGGTGTCACTATTAGAAAGACCCATGAGGATACAGAGTTCAAGGATGCCATTCTTTTTATTTAATTTTTCTATTTATTTTTTATTTTTATTTTTGGGGGGGGATGGTATAGATCTGTGATTTCACCAGTGTGGGGAATTTTCAGTGGAGAAACACCCAATTTAGAGCAACACTCACCTGCTACTAGCTTACAGTCTTAAAGAGTGGCCCAGAGTACCCATTTGCCCCACACCTAAAAACTAAGCCCTGTTCTTTGAGGCCTCAAATGTTCCTTGTTCCCTTCCCCCACCCTCATGCCCAAGCCCTCTTGAAAACAAACACCCTCATTCTGGCTTAGGCAATCCATTCTTCACTCTGCACAAGCATGTGTCTCCCACCGGGTGCGATCATAATTTACACGAAAGGCCTGGAGTTAGCAAAACCAAAAGCATGGAACCGATTGGGTAAGTAAAAAAAGCTCATGAAACATTACCTAATTGTTTAGTAATGTTGTCATGCATTGTCCAAAATTGGACTTGGCCAAGAGTTTTGAGGCAAAGAAAGGAATAAACACAGCCTGCTTTAGGACAAGCAATCTCATTTCTCGTCTTTTTGACTGAAAGGAGTGAGGGGCATTCAAATCTCCCCTCCCCAGTGCCAACAGATTAGGCCCCCAGGCCTTCAAGTTCGCAGATTTGGGGAGGGGAAGCATCTAGTTAAGAGTCATGGCAGAGGGAACATTCATACAAGAACTCCAGCAGGGAATTAAAAAGGACCATATGTTTTTGTCTTTCAAAGCATGATCCCTTTCCTGTTTTTGTTATTCTTAAATTAAAAACATTCCACTGGTGTGCCATGCTGCGAGGCAAAGACTCCCCTAGGTCATCAGAAGGAGCTTGGCCAAGGCAGGGCAAGGCAAACCAAACCCAGGGCTTCGGAAAATCATTTGGTCTTTCTTTATGCTGAACACCAAATGACTAGATCCCGATTGCCCACATAATGGCCTGTGAGGATCATGCCAGTGTTCAGAAACCACAGGAAAAAAAAAAAGGAACCCTCTGGGATTAAGTGTGTCCTCACGGTGGTAGTGGTGGTGGCTGCTGCTGCTGCTGCTTCTGTGGGGAGGCCTTCTATGTGTCACCGACCCACCTAGATGCCAAAGATGCCCTTCTCCCCATATTCTGGTAAGTGGTTACCACTGGAAATTTTTTCACCCAGGGCAGAGGAGGAAGAAAAGTCCTAAGTCCAGTGTTCCCACTGGTTGTGGTTTTGCCAGTAGGAAATAGCATCTTTCTCCTCTTATAGGGGGAGCTGCAAACATAGGACCATAGATTAAGAGTTGGAAAGACCCTTAGTGGCCATCATGTCCGACTCACCCATTTTACAAATGAGGAAATTGAGGCTCAGAGAATTTAAGTGACTTATCCAGGGGTCCCACATCTAGCATGTATCTGAGGCAGGATTCAAACCCAGGTCTTCTTGACTCCAAGCTCAACATTCTACTAACATGCCGTGTTGTCTCTCAAAACTATGCGTGTCATTCAAGAAAACGCTACAAATAGCAATTCTGATTCTATAAAACAGACAAGAGGGGATTGTTTATTTTAATAAGGGATTCTTTACAAAAAGAATTCACCCCCAGACTTCTTTCAAATGGTGAGTTCCCTCAGTGATTTAAAACTGTACTGGACTTTTAAAAATTCAAAATTACAACTTCTCAAAGATACATCTCTGGCATAAAATGATACATGCCTAGCCTTCCCACTAATTAGCCAACTGAAGTTTATTTCCTTAATGATACATGTAATACCCTTTCAACTAACGGGAACCTCCAATTTACTGAATTTTTTCCCAACTCAAGAAGCAAGTGATGACAAGACAAATAACTATCCAAGATAAATGAATGAATGAATACGCATTTATTAAGGCTCGCTTCTGCACCAGCACCATAATAAGTACTGTGGATATTAAGAACAGAAAGTGAGAGGTTCTCTTCTCAAGGAGTTTACATTTTAATACCAGGAGATCACATAAATAGGTGATCAGCTGGGGAAGTGAGAGTCCCAGGGATGCTGAGTTGATCCACTGGGCAGTCAACTGAAATGTCCTTTCCAAAAGCAATGGCACCACTGGACTGATTACTGAGCTTACAACCAGAAATGGAAAGTAGAGGGAGGTGGGGCAGGTAGCAAGATGGCCTGAGGGGATAGCTAGAGAGGATGTGAAGCATAGTCTGGTCTTGTCTGTGGCCAGTTAATCTGAAAGGGGAAAGTAGTAACAGCTGTATGGAAGAGGTAAGGCCTCCTGAAGGAGGTGAGATTTGGGCTAAATCCTAAAGGAAGCGGCAGTGGTGAAGAAGGTGGGCTTTGCAGGCATGGGGAAGAACCATTATAAAGGCATGGAGTTGGAAGACACTATGTCCTGCGCTAAGAACCACAAGAAGACCCAGGAAACCGGATCTTAGAGGACACAGAAAGGAGGAAGGCGTAAGAAGGCTGAACTTTTCCAGGCCCCAGGAGAAAGTGAGACTGTGAAAAGCTTTCAATGCAACACAAAAGACTTCATAGTTGATCTCGAGGTAATAAATAATGAACCAGTGTGCTGGAATTGGAGGTGAGGGAAACCTGAATTTGAATCCTGCCTAAGACATACCAGCACTTCACTCTGGGCAAGTATTTTAAGCTCTCTTGGCCCCAGCATTCTTTCCTCTCCAGCTCTGAAATGATGACCCTAAGGCATCATTATGAGTCACAAACAATCATATACCCAAACTGGCCAGTGAGTGGCTTGAGGGTCTATTATTTTGTTGGGTGAAAGCAAATGCCTTATTTCTGAATCATCTTAGGGGAAGGATCACAGAATCTGAGAGCAGGAAGGGACCTATCTCAGAGGTCATCTAGTCTAACCCATACCTGAAAGAGAATTCCCCATTCATCTTAGCCTACAAGTGAGTGGTCACATCCAGCCTTTGGTGAAGACCTCCATGGAAGGAGAGCCCATGATATCTTGAGGCTGTTCATTCTACTTTCAGAGAACATTTATTGTCTGGAAGATTTTATTGACATCAAGCCTAAAATTTTCTCTTTGGAACTTCTACCCATTGCTTGAGACCAAGTTTCATCCTTGGTCCATCCTTGGTCTACACTAGGTTACTCATCCCCAACTCATTCAACTGTAACTCAGACAGCAGGCCAAAAAGGAACTGAATACTCCAAGTACTCAGAGTTTTCAACTCAGAATATAATGTTGGACAATTGACAAACAGTATCCCTGCTCCCCCACCCCACCCCTCAGTATAGAAACACTCCCCTCAACTTACAATCACTTTAAGGCTCCCCTGGACATCGTAGGATTTGATCACCCAATTGACAGACTTCTTGCATTTTAAGATCAGGACAAGATGTTTGACCACCTCAGGTTCCTTTCGAAATGGTCTAATGTCAATCACAATGTCCACCTGGAAAGAACTGCATGCAGAAAAAGAAGGCAAAAACTAAGTTAGGACCCCAAAGCCAGAAATCTGCAGCCATCTACCTCCTTCCAATCCTCCGAGTTTCCAGTGTCTGGCCAGCTGATTAAGACACTGGAGCAAATCCCAGGCAAAGCAGCATGTACAAAACAGATTGTTATTTTACACACACACAAGTGATTTTACATAACAATAGAAGCACATGCCCGTTGATAACCAGCCATTTTTCCTCTCTTTTTTTAAAGTGCGGTTATTTAATGTCACTATATTTGAAAAAGATGGGAGCAAACCATGAAAGTTTGCTGTTTAAAGAGGAATTACTATTTTTTTTTCCAAACTAGGCATCTTGTTTACAAGGATGATGAAGCCAGAATGGGGCCAGGGGTTATGGCGACCAAGGATTTCATCAAGACAATAAAACAAGCAAAGAAGACATGGAGAGTGTTGTCTTCTCTTGTGCAATTTTTGCTTACGACATTTGCAAATGCTACAGAACTTTCTCTTCACCAACTTTCCAAAGCGTCTGCATATACAGTTACTAAAATAAAGAAAACAGATGTTCAATCCAAGTGATTGCTGGGAAAGTGATGAACACTATCCAGACTTCTAAGAATGTAGTGGAAAAAAAAAGAAAAGAATAAGGACTTCTTACATACGTGAAAATACATATTTAAGAGGAAAATCCTTATGACCATCCTGGTGTTATTCACTTGTAAATCTTGAAAAGCTTTACAAAGCACACCATAAATCTGAATTGAGTTCAATGTCCAGAGGCATTTGCCTCATGTCTTTTCTTGCCATTCCTATTGGATTTCTCCTTCAATATTTTATTTGAGATAATCTATTTCCATACCTCTACCTCTCAGAGTACTTAGCTTCCTTCAAAACCAGCTCAGACACCATCTTCTGCAAGAAGCCTTTCCTGATTTCCCCTAGTTAGTGTTCATCCATCCAAATGTGCGCGCGTACACACACATATACACACGTACACAAACAGAAACACAAAAGACGCCCATCAAACTGAAAATTTAAAAAAAGAAAAAGGAAGAAACCAGTTGCTTACCTGTAGGGATTTGAGTTGGGTGTAATTAATTCTATGATGTGTACTTCCTGGCCGTGAGGCAGGCTGGACATTATACATCCCTCTGCCATCTTTGGCTGAAGATATCCCGCAAGATAATTGAGGGACAGAAAATTCTTCTCAATGTGGCAAGTGGGAGGAAAAACTTGATCTGAAATGACAGTGAAGAAAAGTCAGGCACATATCACTCTGTTTGCATCCCAAACCTGCAGACAAGGCCTTCAAAAGGACAGGTTGGGTCAGTGTTTTGGGGTTGTTGTTTTGGGGTTTTTTTTTTTGGCTGGACATGGAAAATGAACTGGCAAATATTTCTAGGAGGTCAAGGGATTCTGGGATAGTAATGAGTGAAAGACTGAAGTATCTGACCACAGAAGCAAATGGAAGGAGAGTAGGGGCAGCTAGGTGGCACCATAGTGCACAGAGTGCCAGGCCTGAAGTCAGGAAAACTCAACTTTTGAGAGTTCAAATCTGGCCTCAGACACTTACTAGCCATGTGACCCTGGACAAGTCACTGTTCACCCCGTTTACCTCTGTAAAAGGAGCTGGAGAAGGAAGTAGCGAATCACTCCAGTATCTTTGCCAAGAAAATCCCAAATGGGGTCACAGAGAGTCAGATGTGACTGAAATGACTGAACAACAACAAAGGAAGTTCTTATTCGCCCATTGATGGAATTGACTTTGGAAAGGACATTGGACTGGGAGTCAGAGAAGCTGGGTTTTAATTCCAGCTTTGCAAGTTAGTCAGTCAGTAAACATTTATCAAATGCCTACGATGTGCTGGATACTACCTCTATGATTCGAGGCCAACTGATCTTCTCTGAGCTTCGATTTCCTCATCCATATAATGAGGTCCTTTCCAGCTCTAAAATGATGATCCCAAAGCTAAATTCAAGAAAAACCCCATGCCTTAATGAAACTCTACTTTGATGAGCCCTAACATCAAGAAAGGTCAGGGTACAGAGTTTCCATATTCTCTTCACAAAGCTTTGATGTAGACAAGAAGGATTGCCCAAATTTTGGATTTGGGCTCAAATCCTCCATCCAGAAAGAAAAAAGTACATGGTTACAGTGTTTGGAAATTTCATTGAAAGGTTGAAGATGTGTACGTGGCATTTTGGTGGATATGATTTCCATTTGGCTGATTAAATGTTTAAACAGAAATTGAAAGTAGCTGTTGGAATAAGGGAGATAGCGAGGAGTGGGGCATCCAGAACATTCTAGATGCTGAAAGCTTTGGTCAGAAAGGGCAATTAATCAGAGTCCTAATTAAAGACACTGCAGCCCCTCTCACATTGAAAGAATACTTAAGGGAAAGCAGAATCGGAGTCTGCAGACCTCACCCAAGCTGGGAAGACTCAGGCCTGCATCCCAGGTTTAAGCCAATTCTTTCATTTTCCAGTTATTCTATTTCGAGGTAATGAAGTATGCAGAGCACACAGCCCACGATGACTCAAGGCCCCCTGTAACACACAGGCATGACCGGACCAGTCCGGGAGGCCCTCCTTTCAAACTCATAAGAAAAATAGCCCTTGGGGCTCCTTGCTTAGAATTCTTCTATAAGAAGATTCCCTCCTTGCAATGGACATAGAGTCGTGACAGCTCAGGGAGTCTGAGAGAGCCCCACCCCATCACCATCACTGCCCCAACGAACATCTGTTCTAAGCCCTGCCAGAGGAGCTATGATCCTGCCAAGGCCTCCCAGGGGATCACAAGATGGAAAATCATACTGGGATGGCACATGTTGGAATAAAATTAACATGTGCACAGAGCCTCATACACATGTGTATTTACATGAGATGGGTGCAGCCCTGCCTGGATGCAAGAGGGTGAATGTGGTACAGTAGAAAAAGACCTAGATTTAAAGTCAGAGGACTTGGGTTCAAATCCAAGGCCTGCCACTGATGTGAGGACACTGGGCAAGTCCCTTAATGTCTCTAGGACTCAGTCATCTCATTTGTAAAATGAGGGATCTTCCATTTCTAATGACACCTGTTCACCCAGAGGCCCTAAAGATTACTGGCTTTGGGAAAGAAAGGAAGAGATCTATGACAATGACCAATAAGAAATGACATTCCTTCAATTCAAAAAAGTGTAGTTAGCTGGGGTTTTTGACAACTGGTGCATTGCACCATTCTACACCATGGCCCCAGTGGCTAACCCATGCCACCTTTAGCTTGAAAACAATGGTAAGTATAAGGACTTTAAATGTTCAAAAAATCTCATTATCTCTTGTGTCTTCCATACCTGCAGTGTGATACAGTGGGTAAAACACCAGGCATACAGCTGAGATGTGAGTCTGAATTCCAGCACTGCCTGTAACTAGCTCTGGGACCTCCAGAGTCTCAGGTCACTGCTCTCAGCCCTGGTTTCTTCATCTGTAAGATGAGGGGGTTGGATGAGACCATCTCTAAGACCTCAGTCAATTCTAGTGATCTATGGAAAAAATCCAGCTTTGAATCACCCCATGACTCTTGGAACCACCCTATGTGGAGTTGGGTGGAACGAGCTGGGAGGGGGTTAGCTCAGGCTGTCATATGGTGGAGACACCCCCAGAGAACAGAAGCAGGGGCAACAGGTAGATGGTATCAAGAGGAGAATTGAGGCTGTAGGCCAAGAAACATTCTCTAACAAAGAGGGTTGTTCTAAAGGGAAATGGGCCACCTCACTGGAGGTCTTGAAGTCTGCTGAATATATTTTATTTTATTTTATTTGGGAGGCAATCGGGGTAAAAAGATTTGCCCAGAGTCACACAGATAATAAGTGTCTGAAGCTGGATTTGAATTCAGGTCCTCCTGTCTCCAGGGCAGTAGTCAATTCACTGCACCACCTCGCTGCCCCTGCTGCATATATTTTATAGGGGATTCTATTTCAGGTTTGGATCAGGCAGAGACAGCTAGGTGGTGCAGTGGATTGAATGCTGGACATGGAGTCAGGGAGATCTGAGTTTGAACCCTACTTCAGAAACTGACCAGCTGTGGGACCCTGGGCAAGTCATTTAACCTCTGTTTGCCTCAGTTTCCTGATCTGTCAAAGAGGATCATAATAGCATGGACCTCCCACTGCTGTGCAAACCTCAAAGCACTATATAAATGCTAGTTATTATTATGTCAGCTATTATTACATGGGGAGGGGGGAACTGGGTGGTACAATGGATAGAGCCCTGGGTTTGAACAAGGAAGACTCATCTTCATGAGTTCAAATCCAGCCTCAGATACTTACTAGCTGTGTGACTCTGGGTGAGTCACTTACCACTGTTTGCCTCAGTTCCTCATCTGTAAAATGAGCCAGAGAAGGAAATGGCAAACCACTTCAGTATCTTTGCCAAGAAAACCCCAGATGGGGTCACGGAGAGTTGGACAGGCCTGAAGATGACTGAACATCAGCATTATTATATGCTATATCCTCTCCAGTAGAACAGAAGCCTCAGTATGACTGAGGGCAGAGAGTGCTTAATTTGAGGATTTACATCTCCAGTGCCTAACAAACAGAAGGCTCTGAATAAATGGTTGTTGAATTAAAATGAATATGCGCGTCTGTTGCAGGATTAATATTATGAGTTTTGGAAATAAAATTTTGTCACCCCTAAAATTATTCAACCTCCTGAGATCTCCTATTCGTAATTGTTTTCCTCTTTGCTAGAAGTACACTTCCCCCACCAACACACACACACAAACTCTTTAGCTGTCAAATAACTGAGAGAGATGCGGGACATCCAGAGTAAGTCAGTCAACAAACATTTGTTAACTACCTGCGAGGTGCCAGGCACTGCTATCCATTGGAATCCAGAGACACTACGGTAAATCTGCCACTTTACAGAAACTGGGACTTTCATTCCCTGCCTAGAGGATCTTGGGATTTTTTTTTCATTGCCCAGTGGTGCTTCTTGTGACTGTGCCCTGTCTGCATCATGTCTGCCCAGATCCCTCCAATCTCGACTTTCTGCTAAAGGTTTCCTGCCAGCTCCTTCCTCCTGGCTGGATCACCCATGGCAAAGCAGGCAGAAAAGGACCTGGGGTAACTTTCCTGGATTTAGCATTACTTTCTGATGTGCAGAACGTCATATTCAGAGAAGGTTTTCTTCCTTTTGTTTCAGGGGACCCCCAGTATCATTTACTTTATTACTCCTACCTGGGGTCCTCCCCCCTTTTAAATGAAGGAATTAGAGGTCTCATGTAAGCTATGTAAGAAACAACATGAAGGAGGCTCCCGGATAGGCTTGCACACACAGGCAGGCAGGTGTAAGTCCAAAAGAGGCAGTCCCCACCCCAGCAGCTGATCAGGAGCCCCGAGGTATCCAAAAAGGTCTCTTTCTGGTTCTCTGGACTACATGATGGGAGTGTTTTCTCTTGCCTGCCCAATGTGAGAGCTTCCGATACTCCTAAAATCTCTTGTGGAAACTCCCCAACCCTGGTCCCTTTCTCCATCTGCTCAGCTCACCTCTCATCAGGACATTAAAATGGCGTCCTAGCCCACCACATTTGTTGACCTGACTTTAAAATGTCTGCTGGAGTCAAAAGACTGGGCACCATTATCTTAATCGATCGATCAATCAACAAACAATTATTAAGTGCCTTCTATGGGCCAGGCGTTGTGCCTGGGGATACGATCTTGAAGAATGAAACAATTTCTACCCCCAAGAATCTTACATCCTACTAAATAAGAATACTGAGATAAGGATCAGTGGGTCTGGATATTATCCAAATAATTCCCCTTATCAGATGGGCAGTGAGATGGCCCAGTGGATGGAACTCTGTGGGGTCTGGAGTCAGGAACTCATCTTCCTGAATTCAAATCCAGCCTCAGACACTTACTAGCTGTGTGACCCTGGGCAAGTCACTTACCACTGTTTGCCTCAGTTTCCTGATCTGTAAAATGAGCTAGAGAAGGAAATGGGTAAACCACTCCAGTATCTCTGCCAAGAAAACCCCAAATGGGGTCATGAAGAGTCAGAAACAACTGAAATGACTGAACAACAACTATGGGATACCTTCTGAGTCAGATTCTCTAGGCAATCAGTTTACCCCCAAGGACAATTAAGGCACTTCTATTTGTAAAGTGCGTTGCAAACATAAATAGAGAAGACATCTCACAGTTCTCTTGACATGGCACAGAAATCAATGGAGCATACAAGTTGTCCATCGGTCGTCCCTC